CTCATGTGTCTTTCTTACAGCATGGTTGAAACTCTGACTTGTGCTGGCTGCTCCATGGTACTGGGCAGCATCTACAGATGCACGCCAAAGCATCTCGACTACAAGAGGGATATGTTCTGCTTCAGTATTGAATCTGTAGAAAGGTAAAGGTAGCTGTGTGGTGTGTGTGGCCTTTGTTTTGCTTTAGACTGGCTTCTGTAGGTATTGTTTAGATGGACACTACTATTGGTATTTCTGGAATATCCAGAAGTGTTCATCCCTTTTTCCAGAACAATTTTTTGTGTTACTGCTGCTAGCATCATAGTGCTAAAGTTAAAGATATTTCTATTTTTATATCATATGAGCAGTAATGATGATAAATATTTCTTCCAGCTAATGCAACAGTTTTCTGTGTTGGAATAACTTTTCACTTCATCCTGTAGCATCAGAATTCATGACTGTTGTTGGAGAGCAACTATTATACAGTGATGGAATCTTAGTAGTTTTGAGCTTAAAATTACTCTCATTTCATCTTATAGTTTGTTTGTGAGGTCACTAAATATGGATTTTTGTTGCTTAGTCATGTTCCTGCTTATGATTATTGCATCTCTTTATTTGCCTTCAGAGTAAAAAGTGTACAATCTAAATTGTAGCATATCAGTTACGTTCTAGGATCCTCAGAAAAGGAAGCCCGTACTGATGAGGAGCCCATAACGCTTGAGAGTCGAGCTGCTTTGGAGGAGGCAATAGAAAGGGTACAATTTCATCTAGCTTTGCTCACTGTGTGCATGAGATCTGAAGTCTTCCTATCTGTAAATAGTTTCTTCGAAGCAAGCTATAGTTTGTCAGGCTCTGTGCATTTTTTACTGTGCGTTGTGGTACTTCATGCTGTTAGTATTGCGCATTAGCTAAGATTTTCAGCAACTTTGTTTATAATTGTAATCTTTTTTTTTTTTTTTTTTTTTTCTGTTTATCAAATACAGCTTGGTTCCCATCTGTTTCTGTCTGTAGTCAGAAAGATGGGTTGCCTCCTGTAGCTTTGTTTTACTTCTCCATTTTTTTAACTCTATTTTAATGAAGTTTCTTTTTGTAGAAGCTTATCTTGCATGCAAATTGACTTTATATATATATATATGTATATAAATTGAAGCATTGTTTAATAGTCTAATAAATGTGAGTAGATGCTCTCTTCTGTAAAACTGGGAAGAGTTGGGAGCACACCTGGTAACCAGGTTACCAGATCTGAAAGCTGGCACTTGTATAACAGAAGCTGAATGCCTGGCATTGACCCCTCATAAAGTGTGAGGGTGACTGGCATGGATTCTAGAGAATGCTGAGAAATCATATTGGAATCGATTAAACTTCTAGACAGTGAAGGTAGTGGGAAGAGAATCAAATAGGATTGATAACACCTGATTGACTTCTAGTACTTACTGACATCTTTGCTTTGTTTTGCAAAGTTCTGTTTCTTACCAGAAGAAGGTTTCCCCTTTACTTTATAGGCAGACACTGTATTGGAGGCACTGGAGGCAAGATTGGCTGCTGTTGAATCAAGTTTTGCTTCTCTGCGTAATAATGTCTGAAAAAATTCTGCATGTAAATTCAACTGTTGGAGAATGTTGTATGTGAATCTTGCACCTGTAATCCTCTGGAATTTACAGGGACATTATGAAAGCCGTGTGAGGAGCCGAGATTCGTGTGGTTCATGCTGCAATAGGGCGATGCTGGTTGGAAGTCTTCCAACACAGACAAGAAGTACTTTTCCTCGGGTGAAAGAATTCTCCAGGAAAAAAAAAATCACAAACTATTTTTCTTTTAACTTTCACATATGAAAATGTAAGTATTTGTATATAAACAAAAAGTCTACATGAAGTAGTGAAAAAAGAAACAAATGAAAACTGCTCTGCTGTGACCTCTTCAGAAGTTTCTCCTCCTGCCATCTCTTCTTCAGACATTGCTTCACTTGTGCCTCTAGACAGGAGCAAGATGATAACTGTTTCCTGCCAGCTCAAAGTTAAAAGCATGATTGTAAAAAAATATTTTCCTCCTCTTGAAGATCTGTTATGTATATAAGCAAGACTGCTGTCTGCACACTTTTAAGCAAAGCTTAGTGTATGTTTAAGTTGTCTTCTTGGTTTACGTTTGGAGAGCTCTCAGAGCATTTTGTTTTGGTGGAGATATCTCATTTATTTGACTTGGGTATTCTAATCTGTATTTGTTTAACTATGAGAGTTTTCTAAATGTGTCTTCCAAATGATTTTTTTTCAATAAAACAAGGGAAATGGTAATGGTCTTAAGAGGAGAATCATTTCAGAAAGGGTTTCTTCTATCACCCAGTACTACTCAATTTACCACTATGCATTGTTTTGTCCAAAATTTAACAGCTGTTCTTACCCCTGTTGGTAGGTCCTTCTTAAGGAGGAAAGAGGAAAAAATTCTCAATTCTCCTATTTGTCTGCTCCTTTTCCCTGGTTACTCTCTTGGCGTGGAATAGCATTCATTTTGACCTGTGTTGATGGTTTTCGTGGTCTTAGTCTGACAAATAATTAAAACACCGCACTATTTCCCATCAAACCAGACACTGACTTCTGGAGGCAGTTTCTTCTTGGTAAGTTTGCCTCTACTTCAGAATGCTGCTCTGTGACAGGGACTTCATTCTAAATGCACACACGCAAGATTAATTAAACGTCAGGAAAGAGTTAATGGAAGTGAGTGATGCTTTCCATGAGAAACTTGAATTGCATTCTCCTTGGAAATGCTGGTAGCTGGTGGCTTCACAGGCTTACCTCTGCAGTCATAACCCCTTCTCTAGCTATGCTAAAGTTTTGATGTATGTTGGTCCTATGTGTTGCCACTGTGTATCATCAAAAGTGGAATTTATGTATAAGCAAGCAATAAAAAAGCAGGGGGTAGAAGGACCAGGGTCGTTTTAAGCATGCAGAATCCGTAACTAGACACCTCTTCTAGCTGCAGGAGATGAGGAAAATGCCTACTGATTAAGGAGTTTGAAAGCTTTAATCCTCCTGGCATGCACTTGGCCTTGCAGGCAGAAGGAGCATGTGTTCCTGCAACAAAATACACATGGGTAACATGTCTTGAAAGTGCATGTTAAGTAGCTGTTGCTCTCCTTGTTTTAGTGTGTTATGGGCCTGTCTCTTTGTTGAATATCTCCATTTGCCATCACTGTATATTTAGACAATGTCTTCTAGCGTATTGTAGGTGGGAGCTTTAGCACATTAACAGCCTGACTCTCCTAAAGGAGCTTTTCCACACTGCTCGGCGCTGCCAGCTGCTGCTTTGCTAAGGTGTGCAGCAAACAGTCTAAATTTAGGATTAATCTCATATGGGTAGATAGATATCTCTGCAGAGGGGAAATGTGTGTGCTTGTGAATTCACAGTGTTCCAAGAAACTGAAATAAAATCTTTCACTGAGAAATTCAGCTGATGTATCATGTACTTAATGAAG